TGATACATATCAATATTTTAATAGGAAGAGATCCTGCACAAATTGGATTCATATGCAATTTAATAGAAATATTTACATAATTTAACATATTCTTTCCCGTCCGTTGTTTCTTTTACAATCTATCTATTATCATATAATAGAAAAAAATAAATAAAAAATAACATTAAGAATCCCGCCAAAAATTTTGTTTTTTAGTACAGATGGAATTTATATTTTTTTTTATTTCTCTTGCTCGTCACATATTTTCAAATTCCAAATTAATTCCACCAAATCATTGTATATTTGGTTAAAGTCCTAAATTTATATACCCGGGCAAAGCCATAAATTTATAATGTTTGAAGATTTGTGTATTTTAAAAAGTAGAAAATGAAATATATATTTTACATGTTCTATATATATCCGGTAAAAGAATACTATATTGAAAATCATCCTATATAATAATTGATTCGATAAAATATTTCAAAATATTAGAATTCTTAATCATCAATTTTTTTTTTTTGAAATGACGATTTTAAAAAATTCTTATTACATGTACAATAAATAAAACAAATTTTCCGTTTAAGAATTATATCTATAGTTAACAATCTAATCTTCTTATTTATCTAACAACTTACTTAAACAATTTCAAAATATTAAAATTCTTAATCATCAATATATATATTTTAAATTATACATATATATTTTAAATTATGATTTTCAAATTAAAAAAATAATTATTACATGTACAATAAATAATCAAAAATTGTTTGAGAAAAAAAAAACGGTAATTATCTCTCGAAATATATTATCCTTATTTATCATACCAACTTAATTTATCGCAACAACTTGTTTTGAAAAATATTTGTAAATCAAGTTATATAATATAAAAAATTCCAAGAACTTAAGAATCTCTTAAGAATTCAATCTCCTTATTTATCTTACAACTTACTTAACAAAATAAGGAAAAATATTGAGTCTTAATCGACATAACTAAGAAAATCCTTAAATTTGCAATGAATAACGATGATTTTTGGCGTATGCCATTCAGAGTAGTGTTTAAAGACGTAAATTGTCTCAAAACATTAAGAAAACAACTTGTTGAATTCACAAAACAATTAAAAGAAGATGAACAAAGGTTGGAAAACCTAGTTTAAACTTATCCTTCTACACCGATAGATGTTCAATGACCAACTTTTAGGGCTTATACTTTAAGGTGTAGTGGAATAACCTCCTTAATTACTGCAAGTAAAAAGTCAATAAGGAAAGCAGAAAAACAAGCATCCCTTTCAAGTGCTTAAATTTTAAGTGTTTGGATAATTGTTTAGTTGCACTACATGTTCTTGAATATGTTTAAATTCCGCACGGGAATCAGCCCGTCTAAAAATCTTGGTATCAGAGCCTGGTATCAAGCAAAAATCCTGTTGGATAACAGATCTTTCGATCAATATTTCTGAATTCGTCTTCTAATATGGAATTAAAATTTAGAATGGGGAATACCAGTATTTGTGATTCCATCTTAAGGTGGAGACAACTGGAAAACCTGTTTGGCATATGAATTCCAATACGGATATATATAACAAGACTTGTGGTCTTAACAGTAATCTTTCACAAATTTCATTTAATGAAAATGAAAAAGGTTTTAAAGCTAGTTTAGCAATAAAACATGATGCTTTATCAAAAATTCAAAATCAAGGTTAAATCTTAAAAACTAAGAAATTTTCAACATTCCAATGTCAAGTTTCTTTAAAATAAGAAATGAAATCTTTTATTTTGTTAACACACAATAATTGCATTTAGACATAAGAGATGTTAAAGTAACTGTATATCTGCCTTTGATTACTAAAGCAGAAATACGAAAAAAATTTAGAAAAGATTTCGTCTTTCGTAAGAAGTAAAATTTAAAAAATTCATCTAGGAGCAATAAAAAATTTGCTTAAGGTTGAATTTCAAGAAGGGATTGACACCCCTATAAAAATGACATTAATTGATGATAGAATTAATGACAAAAAGGACTGTATCTTAGGAACAACGAGAGAAAATCTTGCTTATGGTAAGTTTATCTTCACAGTTTATCCTAATTTTGGTATGTCTTTTCAAACTGCAAATTTGGATAAAACTTTATCTTTCATTCACCATTTTGAAAGAGAAAATTTAGTGAACCCTGGTGACAAAGTTTTTAGTGTTACATATGTTATAAGCTATGATTTGACTAATAGTCATCATAGTATACTCAACTAGAAGATATCTTTTCAGATATAGGATCAGTAGAAAAAAAAAAACTTTATGTGAGTTAGCACATCTTGAAGAACATTTAGCTATTGATATAGCTAAAGGAAAAATCTTAATAGGAAATAAAAATTCTATGCGGATTAAATAAAACTCTTTGATTATAGGAGAATCAAGCAGACTATCAGTCCCAGAGAAAAGCTCTCTAGCCAATATGCCGGAAAGAATAGATAATTTATCCGGTATGTTAAGACAATTAACTTCGGGATAAAAATTATATCAGATAACGAAACTACATTCATTATACTATAGCAAAAACGAAAGTACATTCGTTATTTGAAACAAGGGTATTTTGGATATTCTATTTGTCATATCTATTAATATATAAAGAGACAATGCTATTTACTTGAAAATTGCAACTAAAAATTAGAAAAAGAATATTTGATTTCCCGCCTAACGTATTTTCTATATTGAGTAATATTTTTTGCCAAAATTTAAAAAATTCCGCCTAAATTAATGTAATTAATGTACATAATCATTTTGGTCAAATATTGCAGCCATTACCGTTATTAGTTGCATGATTTTAATTTGGAATATAATATATTGACAAAATTTGCAGCTATTACTTTTATTAGTTGCATGATTTAAATTTGGTATATAATATATTGCAAAAAAATAAAAAGATATTTATTTAAAATAAAAAATAATAATTCATAATTTGCAGGTTAATATTAACTTGAACGTAAACGAAATAGTCAATTATTTATAGTTTAACAAATTACTCAATAACATACGGGTCAATATTAACTTAGACGTAAACAAAATAGTCAATTATTTATAATTTAATATATTACTCAACTACTTAATTATTTTTATCTGAATAGTTTATACAAAAATAAATTATTTTAAGTAATGAAACAATATAAATTTTATATTTATACTTATTATACACATAGGTTGTTAAATATATGTTAACATAGGTTGTTAATGAAACAATATAAATTTTATATTTATACTTATTATACACATAAGATGTTAAATATATGATAACATTTTACCAAAATAACTATTTTATGGAATCACATTATAGTCAAATCGAATTTCTGAATAAAGTTTTTTAAATGATACTTATTTTGAAACGAATATAATGTGATTTATTATCAGTTATGTGCACCACACGGCTATTAGCTTTATTAGTTGCATTATTTCAATTTGGAATATAATATATTGACAAAACTTGCAGCAATTACCTTTATTAGTTGCATGATTTAATTTTGGTATATAATATATTAAAAAAAAATAAAAGATTTTTATTTAAAAAAATAATTATTCATAATTTGCGAGTCAATATTAACTTGGACGTAAAAGAAATAGTCAATTATTTATAGTTTAATAATTACTCAATAACTTACGAGTCAATATTAACTTGGACGTAAACGAAATGATTAATTATTTATAGCTTAATATATTACTCAACTACTTAATTTTTTAATCTGAATAGTTTATACAAAAATAAATTATTTTAAGTAATGAAACAATATAAATTTTATATTTATACTTATTATTCACATATGTTGTTGAATATGATAACATTTTATCGAAATAATTTTTTATGGAATCACATTATAGTCAAACAAATTTCTGAATTATTTTTTTGAAATGATACTTATTTTGAAATGAATATTATAACGTGATTAATTATCAATTATGTGCACCACACGAGTTGTGTACTAAATTTAAATAGATATTTTTTATGTTATTTTGTACAATTAAAACTTCATATAATATTTCCAATAAATTAGAATATATAATTGTATCACACCATATTTTTAATTTATAAATTTCTTAATAATAATTTTTATTTATAAATATTTATGAATATACACTGCAGGGAACTCATACTAATTTAATAAAAAACAAAAAAAATAAAAAATATGGAGTCATTGGCACATGCTACCAGTGACTCATCACTCGTCAGCCTTTTAGTCCGCCGTATTCACTTTCCCCACGGCTAAAAGCCGCCGCCCCTCCGCCTCTGCCTCCGCGCCAGCTACTGTGCACCATGGCATTCTCCGCCTGGATTTCCCGCCTGCGTTCTTCCTCACGACCAATTCGCGCCACTCTCAGAAACACCTTTAATCGATATCAGAGCGTGTCTCTACCAGGAAGCGTTTCCAGAGGGGTTTTGGGCTCCGAGAACATTCCGGCTTCATCTTGGATCGGGTCTTTACTTCCAGTAGCTCTGGCTGCCTCAGCTGGCTCTATTGTTTTCTACTCACTCCACAACAATGGTCCATCTTACTGCGAGTCACCGAATCTTGATCAAACGTAAGTGTCGGTCGAGTTTTCTCGCTTTTCTTAAACTTTTTGAGAGCTTGTGTTTTTTTTTTTTGTCTTGTTCCTCCGTTTTGGCTTTCAAACTTTTATTTTTTCTTCTTTATTGGTGGGTAATCTTTGTGAGTAGTTGAATCATTGAACGAGGCTTGTTGTTGTTGTTGTTGTTGTTTGCTTTTCCGTACAACGGGTTTCCATATCTTGATTGTTAAAGTTTTGGGCCGAATATTAACAAATGACTACTCTGGGGACATTTTTGAAGCTTAAAAGTGACTAATGATTTATGGCATTTTCCTGTTCTCATGATTACCATGGTTTCCAGAGGTAAGAGCTTCGGCGGCAAAGATAGCACAGAGTACATGGTGAAAGGTTCGCACAGAAAAGTCCCACAGGAGCTTATTGAAACATTGAAGGTCATCTGTAAGGTATTATCTTTTGTCAGTGTTATTAAATGACATTCATGGCTGTATGGAGTCATATTTTTTTTACTAATCGCCATGCTAAATATGTGAAGGATGGAGGTAATGGCGGCATTTACCGTCCGTAGTTAATAATATTGTCTTCAAGTTATGCTCTTATACATCTCCTATCTTCACGTTTGATTTAAAACCTTCGCACACTTTTTCTAATTCTTGTGAAATCTACTTGTGAAGTTGCAAAATAAGTCTTATTGCATATTTACTGCCGATGTTGTAGGAAAATATGACATTAGACTATGATGAAAGATACTTTCATGGGAAGCCACAACACAGCTTTCACAGAGCTGTGAACATACCTGATGTAATTGTTTACCCAAGGTGCAATTTATTCTGACTGTGATTTCATTTTTTCTTCTCTTTTCTTCTCTTTTCTGTGCCTTATTAATTATTATCTATAATTTGCTCTTTTAGTAGCTCTGCAAACTTAAGCTTAATAAAGCCCTATAGAAACCAAAGAAAGGAATGAGGAGCTCCTGGATACTTGATTCTGAAGCTATTCAACTTATTAGTTGAAGGAGACTCCAACATGAAATACATCAACTGTTTTATCGACCCGTCATTCTCTACAATTGCATACCTACTCCGGCCTCCTATGTTTTCACGAAATGAGAGTTAAAACAAATTTCTATTCTATCAGATTGGCCCAAAGATTTTGAAGATAAGTCTACCGAATATTGTTCCAAACTAAAATGTTGAAGAGGAGCATTTCTGGCAGTAGTTAAACAAACTTGCAATGTTTAATTTTTCCACGACACTGAAAAATGTGTCATGCATAATTACTTAGTATAAGAAGCTTTCTGAAAACTTTATAAATTAGATATCTCATGGAAGACTAGGAATTATTATTGACGTGGGTTCAAATTTGGGTCTGAAGAGATGTTAGTTAGAAGTGAGATGACTACATAGCTAAACTATGCAGGCTTAGAGAATTTTGCTAAGCAGAATTATGGTTTAAACTTTGATGTAATTTTAAGCTATTATTGTTGGATCTTGCATTTGCAAAAATGCTTTTTTATTGCTGTGAGATCCTAAACTTGTCTGTTATGATTGTAATACGTGTCCGTGGGTTCTGTATATTCGTAACTTGAGGAAAATAGATGGAGAGATTCAAACTAGAAACTTGTGCATCCTGTCTAACTATATTGGCTCTATCGGCAATCTTACATTGTGCTTGCATATCCATCGAATAATTTAATATGCAGGTCTGAAGAAGAGGTGTCAAAGATTGTAGCTTCCTGTAATGAGCACAAGGTTGGAGCTGCAGTTCTGTTTTTAAATCACAGTTTATGTGTATAATTTTTGTATAATCTTTCTGATCGCATTGGGGTTTTGGGTTAAGTGAATAGTAAAACATGGAAAACTTTCATTATATAGAAGGATTTCTTAACCTATTCTCTCTTAACATGATTACTACCAGGTTCCTATTGTGCCTTATGGTGGAGCTACCTCAATTGAAGGGCATACGTTATCTCCTAGTGGTGGAGTCTGCATTGACATGACACTAATGAAAGTATGAACAGTGATCCAAAATTTATAAATGTAATTTATGGTTTTATTAGATTTGACAGGAATTATTATCCTTGTCCTCTGGCTGCAGACATAAATCACCTAAGGTCAGCACCACAATTTTGTGGTCAATTGTTGGCAGTTTTAGTAGTTTTTATCTTGATATGATGCAGTTCATAGAAAGTCATGAATATGAAGTGTAAAGGTGGAGTTTCCAAATATAAATATCTGAATTCATGCACGCACACTCATAGAACTGAGACATCCTATAACTGCACTTTGCATGTCTGGTGAGTGAAATGAGAACCCGTAGAACACTTTCTTCATGTAAAAACTCACACAGTTAGTTCACCAGAAATGTCTTTGTTATTCAGAGTTTGTGCAATACCATACCGTGAAACACAATTTGTTGAAGTTTCATCTTTAAAACTGGTGAGTAGCTCCTCTGGCAATTTGCATCTGATTTAGTTAGACCAACTTCCTTTACCTTAGACGAGGTTAAAATTATCTACTTGAATGGTGTTGTGAACATCCTTAAGTCGATTAAGATAACTTTCTTGCTTTGTTCTGGATTCACTGTGGTTCTTTACTTGTCTCATTTGGCTTTTTTGGGAAGATACTAAACTTTGTTTGTCATATCTCTCATAGATTGTTGGTCAGTACTTGCAAACTATTATTGCGTACTATCTGTCTTCATCAGTAACGATCAAGGTAACATTACTTTGAAACCATCCTCGTACTTACCTTACAAACTACACTAAATGCAGCGTGTCAAATCATTAAATGTTAAAGACATGGATGTGGTTGTTGAACCTGGTATTGGGTGGATGGAGCTTAATGAGTACCTTGAGCCTTATGGTTTATTCTTCCCTTTGGATCCTGGTGAGATCCAATGTACCTTGTGTTATTTGATGCATTTATTTTCGTTTATGCTCTTAAGTATAGACTCTTTGAATTGACTCACGTGATATGAGGGTATTGAGTTGGTTCTTAAGTTCTTGATAACAAATGTTTCAGGCCATCTATCATTGTCACATTCTAAAAACTTGATTAACTTGTTTTCTGTAGTCGTATTATATATCTTGAAAATTTACCAAACTTAAAATCAGTGTTTTAATATCTTGATAACCACTGTAGTCGTGTTTTTACAATTTGTTCAACATCCATGACATTTATGTATTGAAAAACACCTTTGATCCGCAGGTCCTGGAGCATCCATTGGTGGAATGTGTGCTACACGCTGCTCGGGTTCTTTAGCTGTAAGGTAGTTGCTTTATTTTAATTTTACAAACATCATTACCATGTACTGTATGCATTGTACCTCATTAGCAGTTTTACCTCACCAGCTGCAAAATATTCAACGCAATGTTTTCCAAATGAGCCCAATTTTGTGACAACCAAGTAGTTGCTGATAATTGATGCATGGACGTTTTAGTTGCTGCCTCATGCGATATCGTATTGATCACCCAATCATGGTTTATTATTGCTAGCCAGTGGGTTTTGATGATGTGTCTTTCTATGAACACTGGGGGCCTGAAAATTCTAAGTTGATATAAATCACTGTTCTCAATTGTGTTTAATTGTTTGTTTCTAGCATGTAGGTATGGGACAATGCGTGAGAATGTTATCAACCTAAAGGTTTGCATTAGTAATAATTCTTATTAAATTGCCTTTCGATATCCAAAATCATCACAGTGAGGCTTATTTTTTCTCAGGTGGTTCTACCCAATGGAGATGTTGTCAAGACTGGATCCCGTGCCAGGAAAAGTGCTGCAGGGTTTGTTCCTCACATCCTTATATTGAATCTGTGCCTGTATTTTTCTGTTTCAACTTTCATCTGCTGAATAGCAGTGAACTGTCACATGCCTTTTTGTGTAGCTTAGATGTTTCTCTTGCATTTTTATCTGCGTTTTTGAGCTTCATCCTATAATAGTCATGCTGTATCAGGCTGATATGAAAAGAATCTTCTGGGACCATGATCTTTTCCAAGAAGAAAAGTTATTTTTCTTTTTTTTTTATTTTTTTTTATTTTTTTTTTATTCGTATATATGCATTATCCTTTGTCTCCTTGTTCACAGGGCAGCTCTTCTTGCATAACTGCATTTAATGATGATTATTTTCTAGTTACATAGAAAATGTTCATTAACCACAAAATCTTGTTGTGTGTTATGATCCAAGTTTCTGGTTTATATGCAACAGTTACTAATGGATCTGCTATTTGATAGGTACGATCTAACTCGTTTGATAATTGGAAGTGAAGGAACCTTGGGTGTTATAACAGAAGTTACACTACGTTTACAAAAGATTCCTCAACACTCAGTGGTATGTCAATAGGACTTCGCTATGCTGCTTGTCTCACTTTTGGTACTGTTCAAATATTTTATTTTACTCCAAAATGCAGGTTTTGCTTTATCAGGATCTCATTTGCTGAGATATTTCATGGTTTTCGAGTAGTGAAGTTTATATTTTAAGTTCAGATTTAATATTCCTGAAGTTTATATTTTAAGTTCAGATTTAATATTCTCCCCACTTTGCCATGATCATTAAACAAATAGAAGAATTAAACATCGTCATTAGTTGAGGGCTTGACATATGAATGAATATTGTTTGATAATAGAAATTGCAAATTGATCATTTTATTTATGATCTTAAGTGCCTTACATACTAAGTTTCTTAAATCAATTTGTCATTGGGAATTCAGGGTACCACAGAGCTCGTCTGACCTTCATTTTCCTTTATACGCCTTTCCAGTATAGAATGTACAATTAGGATGTCTTTATGGTGCATTCTGGATTCGTTTTATGATTTTGTTTGGGTTTTGTGATATAGATACTAGGTTGCTGTGAAGTTTGGTTTAATGCATTTCTCTCTTATTTTTCTTTTTAACTATTAAATAGGTAGCAATGTGTAACTTTCCAACAATTAAAGATGCAGCGGATGTTGCTATTGCCACTATGCTGTCCGGCATACAGGTCAGAGAACTTTGCTACGGTTGCTTATATAATGAGAAACATGTCTTGTGAATATTTATGCTGCACAATCGCTTACTCATGAATACTTCAAAATGCATGTTCTTGATTTACTTTTTTTTTTTTTTTTTTTT